AAATTCACGGACCAGCGATTTAATCCATTAGGCCTTTGTCTCATTGAACAAATTGCTGTAGTGAACTTGGGGTCTTAAACCTAAACTGATGTTTAATGCTGCAATTGCTACTGCTGTCTATCATGTTTTGATTACTGCTGCTGTTGAAGCCTTGCTGTCATTTGTCTTTCTTTCTTTATTAGCGACTCCCATGTTTTATTAATTTCTATGCTAGGCCTACTGAAGAGGTCCTCATAGTCTAACACAGAGGTGGGCAATCTTTTTGAGAGTGCGTGCCCAAACCGGCCAAATCTCTGACACAATTTTTTTCATGTACCAACAAAAATATTTGAAACGTCAAGACTAGCAGCAACTAAGATGGAACTGGGCCTTGAAAAGTTCATAAAAGTATCACCTTGTTTTAGTCTTCCTCAGTTCACGAAAAATTCTTTCTCATTTTTCCTCTTCAGTTTTATTCCTTAACTTCTTCTGAACATTTTCAAACTGTCCCTTACCAGAAGAAGTCCTACAAACGATTGTTTCGGAATAGAAAATGCATAAGGCTTTATTTTCTTTATTAATCATACCATATTTTTCAGTCCAGTATTTTTAAAAATTCTCTAATATCTTCTTCATTTGAATGACATCGTTTCTTAGCTGATGATCGTGACGATTGCGTCCAGCGTGAAACAGCCTGTCGCCTCTGAGTGTTGACTTCAAAGTTCACTTTTATATTTATATTTACATACGCTCTATCTCTGATATTGATCCCTTTATCCCATAAATATACCACACACACGCACACATACAGATATATATATATATATATATATATATATATATATATATATATATATATATATATATATATATATATGCGTAAGACAGCATATTTGGTTAAATATGGATATTTATTTTCCGCAAGGAAAGTTGGCTCCTGTGCCGCGCCAGGAAATTTTTCCCGCCGAAGTCAATCCTTCAAATCTACAAATCAACCATTCGCCCTTGCATGGAGTATTTCTGCCATATATGGTCTGGAGTCACTTCTAATTGTCTCAAGGTCCTTGATAAAATCCAAAGACGGATATGCAATGTAACTGTCCCTGATCTAGCATCTCGTCTGCAGTCGCTCTCTCACAGACGTGCCGTCGCCTCCCTCTGTCTTTTTTTTTACAAATACTTTCACGGTAACTGCTCCGATGAGCTGCTATCGCTGGTTCCCAGACTTCATGAATTTAAGCGTTCTACTAGGCTGGAATCTCGCTCTCACCCTTTCACTGTCGAAACTCCTAAATGTAGCCATCTCTTCCACTCCAATAGCTTCATATCTCGCACTTCTCGCCTGTGGAACTCCCTCTTCTTTTCTTGTGTCCCTGATAGTTATAATCTCCAACTATTCAAATGTAATGTCAATCGACGTCTCCAGATGCCCTGATCTATCCCTTTTCCTTCTCTTCATCTTTTCCTCTATCACTCCTATTTATTCTCGCTCCAACTCTCTGTAACCCCTTGCGTGCTAGTGGCTTCCGGCCTTGCTTGGGGTGAAACACTTACAAAAAATAAAAAAAATAATTTAAATGTATTATGTCTATTTATCTTAGTTTTAATCCTTTCAAGTCCACGAATTCATTTCTTGGTGGCTGTAGAAAATTGATTAAGAAAGATACCAAAACTAAAATAAACATAATACGTCTTATTTATTTAACCAAACCTGCTTAAATAAAAAAATTGTTTTATTTTTACTCATTATTTTTTTCATTATTTACTACTGATTACTTATTTGTTGTTGATTATTATTATTATTTCTACATTTGTGTTTATCTGTGCATCCGTAGTTGGTTAATTTGTTTATTTATTTAAAGTTTTTGTTTATTTTATTTGTTTTCCGTTTTAATTTAGTTCGATAAGGTAAAGAACAAATAGAAAATGTTTATTAATCTAATGTTTCAATTTTATTAAATCTTCGTCAGCAACCGAGATACGGAGATAAAATATCTTTAGTTTATATTATGGGCTGTGTTTAAATTACTTTAGATCCTTGGCGCTGTATAGAGCGCATATATTTGCATTTTTCATGGTGATATTTTACAGGGAATTTGATTTTAGTTTTCGATATTTAAGCAACATTAGTAAAATCAAAGTTTTACTACGTTATCACTGACCAGCATATATAAATCGTCGGGCGAAAACAAGACACAATATCCTGAAGATTGCGTTGTAATATAAAACACACTGTCGCCGGCCAGTGTTGACCTAAGTGCTCACACACACACACACACACACACACACACACACACATATATATATATATATATATTAATGAGCCAGGTACTACCTACCTAGGTTTCACCGCTTGGGATCACCAGGGTCTCCTCGGAGGCAATTTGTTTGAAAATTGTGCTAGCCAGGTTTTTTTACCACCAAATTTAAATAGATTTGCGCTATATATATATATATATATATATATATATGTATGTATGTATGCGTGTGTGTTTGTGTGTGTGTGTGTCTTGTCATCCACAGGCAGACAGTTTTGCTGTTTCACAGCTAATCAGTGTGATTGGACATCCGATTGCCTCAAGCCAAGATCGATTTAGTATCGGTCGGAGACTCTACCTCTAAGCCATTGGCGCACGCCAAGGATGAAGGTAAATTTGAACGTATTAATTTTTAGATAAATACGCCAGTGACTGAAGAACACGATTCGTCTTAACGGAGAGTCTTGCATCAGCAGCAGTAATAGTGAATGTTTACAAATTCACTTTTCTCCCCGAGAGCTCAACTGAAATAATTGGTGGAGGGGGGCATGTATATATTGACATCCACAGACAGACTGTTTTGCTGTTTCACAGCTCATCGGTGTGGCTAGACATCCGATTGCCTCAAGCCGGGATCGATTTGGTATCAGTCGGAGACTCTACTCCTAAGCCATTGCCACACGGTAAGGATGAAGGTGAATTTAGACGTATTTCTTTTTATATAAACACGCCAGTGACTGACTATATATATATATATATATATATATATATATATATATATATATATATATATATATATATATGTATTCCTCTCTTTCTCCATCCAGCTATGGGTAAATAGCAAGACAGACTGGTTCCTATAGCCTTGGATAGCAACTGATCTAGGAGAAGGACAACTCTGAATTCAAAACCTGCAGAGGGTCGTTTGGGGACGTTGTGGCACATAGTGCACCATGTCTCTGTATTCGGCTGTTCAAAAAGTGTGGTTGGTTCTACACAAAGCATTCAGTTCATATGTGCTGGTGTCTGGCTGTCGGCACCTAGGAACTGAGCTGCTTGACCCTCATACGTTGAATACCACGGGACAGTCCACCATACATACATACATACATACATACATACATATATATATATATATATATATATATATATATATATATGTCCTCATATCCAAACTTCAGAGTAGTTCACATATGAGGATAATGAGGATAATATGTATCAGTATAGAGTTACTTTCATAGATGTCAAGTCAGGGAAAGGTAGGGTGTCTAAATTTTAAACGGAAGATATATATATATATATATATATATATATATATATATATATATATATATATATATATATATATAATTTAACAAAGCACAAGAACTTATCGCAATATATGAAAATGAAATGTTTCACGAAAGTAAATCTTAATTTGCAATGTTTAAAGCTCAATAAATTTTATTTTCAATTGCCTTTCTCATTTCTTTTCTCATTTTGCTTACTTTTCGCTGTTCTAGTATTTTTTTTAAGTAAGTTTTTTCTGAAAATGACGTGCACTTGTATATTCTGTTCTACTAAACAAAGATTTTTCTCCTGGAATCTGATGACCTCATCAATAGCTTCCTCTTTACTGAGTCCCAGTCTTCTTCTTCATCATCCTTCATATTTTCACCACTGACAATGGAATACGAAGGATAATGAGGGTGTGTCGACCATGTGTACGGGTCCTAGGAATGAGGAATTAATGAATCTGGCTCATTTGAACATCTGACATAAAAATAAGGGGTTGTAAGGTGGGAAATAATACATCTTTTTTTCTTCAAACTGTCATGGCTAGAATGTGAGAAATGGTAAGCTCCATTCAAGAAATATGGGCGCAATTCTTCCCTTTTGGTCTGATCTTACCCTTGTAAATACAGAGAATGACAGAAGGAGTCAGGTACTTTCTGCAGCGGTAAAAGCAACCAAATATTTTTTTCGTCATTTTTAGCGATTGATCAATTTCCTCTTGAGATCTGGAGTGAGCTTGAAATCTAATAAACATTCAAGTGAATGTGCCTCTTTCATAGTACAACTGTTCATTTTGACTGGAGAAAACTTAGAGTTTACTCCGTGATGAAGAAACGAAACGAGGTAGGTGAAAAAAGAAAGAAAAACAAACAAACAAAAAAAAAAAAACCCAGAAAACAAAAAAGAACATCCATGAAATTCGACATAGTGAACAATTCTCCTTGTAAACGGGAAACTTGAAGAAACCCTCCATTTTCTGTTATGTATTGAGGATAAATGATACGTTACAATGTCAGAAAGCAAAAGCATTCGTTGTCTGTTAGTACATCTCAACGCAATTACACACTGGCAATATTTTCAATTCTACAGAACATTAGTGCGCATGCGCAGATGCTGCTGTCTGTAATAGCTTCCGGCGATTGAATACTGACATGAACAAATAGAATTTCCACACTAAATCTCTAATGGAATGATTTTGAATACTAAAGAATAAACATGCAAGAACAAGTCGAAAGAATTCATTAACTGGGAGTAAAAATGGCGACATCATGAAAATGGAGTTAAATTGTAGGAAGAGAGAGGATACATATATATATATATATATATATATATATATATATATATATATATATATATATATATATATAAATAGAGAGAGAGAGAGAGAGAGAGAGAGAGAGAAAGTGTGGGATGTATTTGAATAAAAAATGACTGATTATGATAAATGTTGGATGGAACCGGATACTGGATGGCAAAAAGGGAAATAATTTAAGTGAAGGTATTGAGAAAGAAAGAAAGAAATAAAGAACGGGAAAATAAAAGAAAATTACGATCCCGAAAGAAAAAGAAAAATATAGAAAAACGGAAAAATGAAAGGAAATTGTGTTTAATGGAAGAAAAAAAAGAAAAAGAAAGAAAGATAAATAAGAAAAAATGTTTAATGGAAGAGAAGAGAAGAAAAAGAAACAAAGAAGAAAAGAAAGAAAAAACTTGAAGGAAGAAAAGAGAAGAAAAAGAAAGAAAGAAGGAAAGAAAAAATATTTAATGGAAGAGAAGAGAAGAAAAAGAAAGAAAGAAGGACAGAAAAAATATTTAATGGAAGAGATGAAAGAAAATAAAAACAAAGAAAAACAGAAAAAAATGAAAGAAAATTAGGTTTAATTGAAGAGAAATAAAAACAAGAAAGAAAAAGACAAACAATAAATGTCAAAAAAAATGAGAAACTTGTGTTTATTGGATAAAAGGAAAAAGAAAGACAGCGAAAATAAAGTAGAAATTTATGTTTAATGGAAGAGAAAAAAGAAAAGAAAAAAAACGAAAACAAAAAAAAGAAGAAGGAAGAAAGAAAAAGAAGTAAAATTGAAAGGAAAAGACAAGAGATAACAAGTGAAAGAAAAAAGAAAAGAAAGAAAAAGAAAAAAAAAGAATGGCGCATATGTGAACTTATAATGAAAATTGAATGTCATGTAAATTGAATGAAAATCTGAAACAGAGAAATAAGAAAACAAATGAACAGAATAATAAAGAAATATGAAGAAATGGTAAATAAAAATAAATGAAGCAAAAGATAAAAGAAAGGCGATCAGATGAAAGAGGAAAGAAAGAAAGAAAGAAAGAAAGAAAGAAAAGAAGAAAGAAAGAGAAGAAAAGATGGGCGATCAAATGAAAGAGAAAAGAAAGAAAAGAAGAAAGAAAGAAAAGAAAGAATGAAAGAAAGAAAAGAAGAAAGAAAGAGAAGAAAGAAAGAAAGAAAGAAAGAAGGAAAGAAAGAAAAGAAGAAAGAAAGAAAAGAAAGAAAGAGAAGAAAAGAAAAGATAGGCGATCAGATGAAAGAGGAAAGAAAGAAAGGAAGAAAGAAAGAAAGAAAGAAAAGAAGAAAGAAAGAAAGAAAAGAGAAAGAAAGAGAAAAAGAAAGAAAGAAGGAAAGAAAGAGAAGAAAAATAGGCAATCAGATGAAAAAAGAAAGAAAAGAAAGAAAGAAAGAAAGAGAAGAAAAGATAGGCGATCAGATGAAAGAGGAAAAAAGGAAGAAAAGAAGAAATAAAGAAAGAAAGAAAGAAAGAAAGAAAAAAGACTGCAAATAACGGACAAACTGGTTCGAGTGAAGGATTTCTTTCTTTTTTGTGACGAATATGCTTCTGGCAAATTCTGCAATTTCGAGAAAAAGAAAGAAAAATGAAAAGAAACGAGGCCCTGATTTTACGCTGGAATCTTCATTCTTGGATTCTCAGTAGTTAGAGGGGCCATTTTTTTTTTAAAAAACATACCGATTTATTGATGTCAATTTGTTTATCTTTCTCTCTTACTCCCAGTCTTATTATTGTTCATGCCTACATAATCTCTTTCTCTTCATTATCTATCTATTTAAATATATGTTCAGATCTATCTCAGTCTTTTCATATCTATCTATCTATCTATCTATCTATCTATCTATCTATCTATCTATTACGGAATCTAATGCTTTTGCTAAGTTGCTGCTATAAATTTCGCAAAACTAACCTCTCTGAATTTCTTCCCCTAATTGTAAACACATGCCTCATAATGAGAGAGAAATAAATCATACAAATTCGGTGTCCCGTGTGTTATGTCGAAAGTGAATAGGTTGGCACTTCACTGACTTGTTGCGGGTGTAAAGGACATCGAAGAGTTCTCGGAGCGATCATTTAAACAAATGTAAAAACGGGGCTAATCAATCCAACAAGGATTTTCTCTTCTTGTTTAACTCCTCTCCGCCTATTTAATGATTTCCATAGCCGTGTGAATTCGTAGGGACAACCCCACCTCTCTTTCTTTCTTTCTTTCTTTCTTTCTTTCTTTCTTTCTTTCTTTTTTCTCTCTTTTTCTATCTGTCTTTCTTGCTTTCTCTTTCTTTCATTCTTTCTTTTTCTCTCACTTTTTTCTTCCTGTCTTTCTTCATTTGTTCTTTCTTTCTTTCTTTCTTTTTTCTCTCTTTTCTTTCTGTCTTTTTTGCTTTCTCTCTCTTTCTTTCTTTCTTTCTTTTTTCTTACTGTCTTTCTTCATTTGTTCTTTCTTTCTTTTTTCTCTCTTTTTCTTTCTGTCTTTCTTTCTTTCTCTTTTCTTTCTTTCTTTCTTTCTTTCTTTTTTATCTTTTTTCTCTTTTTCTTCTTCTTCACATTTTCTTTCTTTCTTTTCTTTCTTTCTTTCTTTTTCTTTTTTCTTTCTTCTTTTGCTTTCTTTCTTTTTTCTTTTTTCTTTTTTCTTTTTTTCTTCTTTCTTTCTTTCTTGTCTTTCTTTCTTTTTTCTGTCTTTTTCTTTCTGTCTTTCTTGCTTTCTCTTTCTTTCTTTCTTTCTTTCTTTCTTTCTTTCTTTCTGTCTCACTTTTTTCTTCCTGTCTTTCTTCATTTGTTCTTTCTTTCTTTCTTTTTTCTCTCATTTTCTTTCTTTCTTTCTTTCTTTCTTTCTTTTTCTCTCACTTTTTCTTTCTTTCTTTCTTTCTTTCTTTTATTTCTTTTTTCTATCTTTCTTTCTTCTTTATCACATTTTCTTTCTTTCTTGCTTTCTCTCTCTCTTTTTCTTTCTTTTTTCTCTCTTTTTCTTTCTTTCTTTCTTTCTTTTTCTCTCACTTTTTCTTCCTGTCTTTCTTTCTTTCTTTCTTTCTTTTTTTCTTTCTTTTTTCTACCTTTCTTTCTTCTTTCTCTATTTTTCTTTCTGTCTTTCTTGATTTCTCTCTCTATCTTTCTTTCTTTTTTCTCTCTTTTTCTTTTTTCTTTTTCTATCTTTTTCATTCATTCTTTCTTTCTTTCTTTCTTCACGACTGAAATTGGAGAGCATCTTTTGAAGAGATTTTACTTGGTGAGTTAGACTCGCCTAATATGTAACTTAAAATATAAACATACTTGACCTTGATGAACCCATTGTGTGCAACCTTGAAATAACGATTTAATCCTTTTAAAACAGATTCTTGCCAATATGACATGTATAAATATTTTACAAGCATACAATGATCAAGTAGGTGCACGGCAGTGTATCGGTTATCAACACGACGAATGGAATCAGAAGATCGAATTGGAATTTTGACTAAGGTTACTTGGGTTCACTTTGGAAATATGGCCGCAAGGAAGGCACGATTTCACATCCATTAAGCCTTAATCATCGCCAGGTATAATATTCCATATCATTAGCAGGTAAACCTCACTGTCAGGTAAGTTAACGTCCAAGTGGTTCAGTAAGCGAGACGTTAGACAAACCAATGATTCGTATCTAATTTCTGATCCAGGCTTAAATAATTGTAAAATAGTAAAAGTGACTAACATCTACTGTCACGCTTGACAGAGATCAGTAAACATACACACAGGCGCACGCACGCGTGTGCACACACACACACGGACACATATACACATACGCACACGTACACATACGATTTGTTTGTAGTTTTTCTTATGTATATATAAGTGTGCTCCATTTTAAATACTTTTAAAAAGCATTTATTTCACGCTGTGCTATTTAAAAATGGCCGCTCCAGAGCTATAGACTTCTCTTCCGCATTTTTCAAAAAGAATGCCTAAAAATACCGACAGTTCGAAATAATTTTATTTTTGTTGTTTTTCAGTTCATTGACTTTCTTGAATTATCGTATTTTCCGGTTTACAAGACGCTGCAGTTTGGAAGACGCACTCTAATATTGGAAAGAAATGTCTAAGAAAATAAAAGTCATTCTCATACAACAACACATTCACCATGCGTCCCTCACATACTGGCGCCATGTGTTGTTTACATTATTCATTCATCCGATTTTGTTTGTATGACAATGACATACTAGTCAAGAGCAGAAAGGCTCCCACTCCAGGAAACAGAGCATGTTTAAGCTTGTGGCTCAGCTCCAGGAAGGTTTATAGTCTTGGAAATACTTTTAACAACTAAGTACTGAGGTTACATTATATAAAAGACTGAATTAGATAGATAGCTAACATTGTGTAATGACTCAACATACAAATCCACGTCCCTATTAGTCAAGCCAATTACGTGACCGTCCGAGCTTACTTAAGGCTGGGCGTTGCCTCTTGGAAAACGCACACGTATTTTTCAGGGTGTTTTTTAGGAAAAAAGTGCGTTTTAGTTTTTTCTCCAAACGTTGATTGCATTTTCAGCTACTTTTCAAATGATTATATGAATGAAAATGGCATTATTTATTGTGAGGGCGTAATCAATAGCGAGCGTAACACATTTCTATAAACAGTGAGGAGAAAAAATCAAAACTGCATGGTGACTGTTAGTTTCACAATTCAATAGATAATCAAACTGTATATAAATAATTAACAATGGCTTTCTGAACTACCTCATCGATCATCAGATCGAACTATTTCTTTCTAAAGTAAGTAAAAGCAATAATTAACATACAGATAAAAATAATAACAGTAATATTTTCTATAAAAGCCGTTAACTTATAAGCAAGATGAATTTTCTCTTAGAAATTTATATAAAGAAATATGTCACCCCAGTCGAAAGAACAAGAAAATTAAATTGATTATCGACTAAAACAAATATAAACAAAACACCTACAAGATCTAAATTACAGGTAACTAATATTATTTATAAATTTACTTACCCCTTAAGGAACTGCGGTCTTGATCAAACCAAATACCTCTCTAGAAGACTCACGTTACATTTATCTGACCATAGCTCAATTAGGACTCATTTAAACGCACACATAAACCTACCAAGCTGTATTCGCAACCTACTTGTAGAAAATACAAGTATAATAGCCTCATCTACATGTTAAAAAGAATAAAAATAATGGGAGCTCTAATAATAAAAAAGAAAAAGCCAACACCCAATAACATCAACTATGAACATGGCCACAATTTGTTGACTGTCTTTGGAAAGTAAAACATTTCTATAACTCTAGACACATACATAAAGCCCATGAATTCACTTAAAAATAAAATAAAGATCGCCATTGATAATGGCTAAACGAATAGCCAAAAGCGCTCAGATATGCAGAAAATTTGGACATTTTGACACACTTTATGTCCAGAAAAGAAAGCACTTATATGAACACAAGAAAAATAAAAAGCTTAATCGCAGTACTTGTCTGTCGTCTTTAATGAAACACACGCACACACACACACACACACACACACACATATGTGTGTGTGTATTTTTGTAATATATATATATATATATATATATATATATAAACAAATCACCAAATATTCCTTGTCTGTGATATTCAACGAAATATATATATATATATATATATATATTCAACGAAATATATATATATATATATATATATATATATATATATATATATATATATATGTTTCGTTGAATATCACAGACAAGGAATATTTGGTGATTTGTTCATTTTAGTATTTCTTACAGTTTTTTCCATTTGGTGTGGTTAAGGGAGTAAAAGAAAATGCCCCAGTGTTTATTGTCCCCAGCGCCTCCGGCCACTTCTTTTCAGGGGCTTTGTTGTTAAGTGCTGTTAATTTCTTTACATGGTTGTCTGTTTAAGGTGCAGTTGTATCATGTCTATATATAGTAGTAGCATTTATTCTGAGGCCCGGGAAATGCATGTCACTGGAATTCGAGATGATGTCTTTATATTTAAAAAACGAAAAACTTTAACGCGTTCTTTCCGTTGCTGAATAAGGTGATATTAATATTGGGTACCAGATGTTTTATGTAGAGGGCTTCTTTGACAGAAAGATGTTATCGGTTACGGAATTTATGAAGACAAACATGAAAAGAATTAATAATAGTTCTGTCTATCCAATTTCATTCAGAAGACTTTTGTGAACCTTTTTAGTATAGTTTTCAGACACTTTCCCTACGTGCCACACGCTGGGATCACCTCCCCAGTTCAATAACATTAATTAGTCACCTTCCCGCTAAATCGATCTTAGTGAGATTCAGTCCCTGGTTTCATGGTCTGAACACGAACGCAAACGTCCTAATTACTGCGACACGGTTGTCTACATACATATATACATGTAGTATGGAATGATAAAACTAGTTGGGTGATTAAAATTTTATTCTATCGTCGAGGTTTCTTTTAGCAAGAAAACTGGGGATGATCGCTACCATGGCAGCTAAGGTACGAAAAAAGTTATGTGTGGCACCATTTACCAAGGCAGAAAAAGAAAAGAAAGAAAAGAAAGGAAAGGAGAGGCGAAGACCCAAAGCGTGGATGATAAGCAGAACACCGCGGCTTAGAGACAATGGATAAAGGATATTTTGATAAGTAACAAATGGCGAAAGAGTGTCATTACAATGGCAGAGAAATTCTGAGTGGATAAAGGAATCGGGTGTGTTCTGGCGACGGGCTGTGTTATCTGGGATACATAAACAAACCGCTGGTGCGGGAAAGCATCTGATTAAGCAAACCCCAGACCGACTAGCCTAAGAAAAGTCTAATTGAAAACGTTAATTTTGATAAGTGACAAAACACAGGTGAAACTACAGGGCTTTGGATAGATATGAAAAATTAATTGTGTCAAAAGCCGCACAGGATGTGTCCACTGACCGATTTCTTTCGACGGAACATCTTTAACCTGCGATAATAAAACTATGTTATCAGAAATGTGTACCGAAAAAATGAATGGGAACTTAGAAATGTTTCTTTTCGAGGCGACAGTCTGGCCGTGTTAAAAAGGTCACCCATTCTGATAATTAGCGATAAGATGACTGACGAAGCCCAGGTGAAGAACCACCGAATGACCACCGTCGTTCGTATTGTTCTGTTTGCGGCTAGAGAAAATGATAACTGCGATTAAAAGAAAGAAAAGGAAAAGAAAAAGATAATTTTTTTTTGTGTTAAGCAAGATATTTTTTTTCCCGAAACAAAGCCGCGGAATCGTACACGCCCGACTACGCATCATTGGTCGAGTGGTGATCACGTGATGCACGAAGGAGGCTGTCGCCGACCATCTAGAGGATGGGTATGAGAAGTTCCTACGAAGAAGTGGGGAGGGCAGTTCACGCCCCTCTGAAGTATGGTGAGAAGGTGGGAGTAAGAGAAGGCTCCCAAAAATGGAAAAAAAATGGAAAATTCCTAACCAGAAATAAAAGAGGTGGATATGTATTTAGAATTATCGAGGAACCCCCGGCGCCGACAAACCCACCCCGGTTTTGGTCGGCGTCCATATAAGCGAAGTCGCAGCGAGCAGAAATCAGTTTTCAGTTCAGTTGCAGTTGAGATCGAGTTGAGTTCCAGTTCGGTTCGAGAGACTTCCCGCCTCGCAGACAGCTGACCAAGATTCGCGCAAATTCCGGACTCCTCTTCAATCTAAGAACAATTAATTTGAAGAGCGACTTAGATCCAGACCAACAAAATAAGTTTTTTTTTCGACTTTCGCCGAAGACACACCGAAAAAACAATTTCTTAAAGAGTAAACAACTTGAAGCGTTGAAACTAGCCTAACGGAAAACAACGTGTCACAATCCATAGAACGGGTCGGGAAATAGACGTAGTCCTATGTATCCAACAACTAGACATAAAGTTTGTTATCCTTTTTTTTTGATACCTTGAATTTTTGAGTTATCATTTTTTTTTATGCATATGTGTGTGGTGTCACTCCCGTTGAACCCGATTTGCATTACGGCCCCAACTACTGATTCATCTCGTCTGCCTAAGATCAATTCACAACGTGGGTAGGCAGACTGGAGATCAATGCAGTTACTTTGGTAACCAGGCGTTGGAAGCGAGTTGGGAACGACGAGGCTGATATCGAATCTAACCAGATTCCCATCCGAATCACCAAAAGGTTAGAACGTCACATTTGGGTGCCGCGACCGATACCAAGCCAGTTGG